CAGGTCCTTAAACATCACCGTTTTGTCTGGATTTTCCCTAAGGCTGGTTTGTGTCATAGTGCACCGCGACTAATCCTGCACAATATTGATTGTTCCCGACTTTCCTTTATCAGAAGTCTTGCACACGGACTGACTACACACAATCGAAGTAATTTGTGAATTACATCTCACCCAAACAAATAACAGTCTCTGCTCCAAACGTTCATTAATTTTTTTGGATAGACTGTCCAACACTGGTTGAATATTATGGCTGCAGAAAACACAAATGTCTTCAATTTGAATGATAACACAAAAAGTTGTATTGAAGTTCCAGTTAATGAAGTAATTCAAATATAGGTTCGCGGATACCTTAGCTTCGATGACCAAACAGCCACCTCAAAATATGACAGACAGACCTTCAAAAATTCAAAGCAATGTGGCCTGAAGTTAAAGTCCCGATTTCTGGTCGAATGGCGAAATGCACTGCCCAGAACCACTCCATTCAAATCAAGAATAAGAAGCTTCTTCTTTGAATCATTGGCGGACGCAAGTTCTGACGGGCTTTTTGTTACCCTTGTACCTTCGACTGGGGAAAAATTGAAGGCATACAGCATTTCAGCACATGGATTTTGCATGTGAGATCCAATTTGAATGTCATAATGCGAAATCAAACAAGAGGAATTGGAAAGTGTAAAGCAAAGATCTGGGGTCGAGAATTTATTACAATGTCGTGAGCAGCAGCCCTGCAATAATGGAATAGCGGGAGTAGAAAAGCAATTTGTGAATGCGATGGTCACGGGGAGATGTATCGGAACAGAGGTACATACACTTTTAATGGTTTCCTTTATACAAGATTAATTTCGTACCAATAATTTGCAAATGCCCTAAAGAATTTAAAATTTAATATTGCCACGTGTTATATGCAACGAACCAATTACAGTAAAGGCGAGACATAATGTACCGTTCCCTGTTTCCTGATGCCCCACATCGTTGGTAGCATCATTTTGCAAATCTCCTCTGGTTACAGCCTCATGTGCCTGTTTATTTTCTATCAGGAACGCAGCATAAGCGAACGGGTCCGCAAGTTTCCCCAAAGCGATCTCCCAGGCAATAAATTTTCTATCAATGACAGCATCAAGCTGTACATACATTCAGAAATGATGTCAGACGCAATAAAGTGAGGTTGCCACAAGGGATTGTATATTTGTGCACTTACAAATAGTGGCCGACACCCCTTTGCCGAACATTGCGCAAACTTCAAGGTGAAAACCCCGCAACTTGCCGCGTCTGTCTGTTTTAGTTTGTGTTTTACAAGAATAAATGTCCAGGGTTGATTTTCGTGGAAAATTTCCATCAAAATCCATTCCTAAAAAGGAAATAAATACAGCAGACGCTCGAATGTTAGAAATATGTTACCTTCTTCGGAAATGAAGCTAAGGTACGATTTCGATGTTTACTCACCACAGATTGCATCAAACCTTGGTAGAAGGTTTTGTAATTGTCCATAGAATCAACAATGTACACTTCTTTGTCCTTGACATGTGCAATCATGAGCAACCAATGATTTGAATAAATGATTGGGAAAAAAATCTGCAATCACATACAAGCAATGTCGAATGTGTTAAAAGCTAAGGCATATTAGGCTGAATCCAATTCCACTAACATGCAGCTGCTACTCATATTGTATAAGAATGTTAAGGCGAGAATGATAGCTAATGTTTACCTTTTCAAGATTTGTCATGGAGTCGTCATTGCTTTGATCAACGAATGGCTTTTTGGTTGCGGGAGATATGCATGGATAGTCTAACACACATTTCAGCTACAACGAAGTGATTGAGAAGCAAGTATTAGTTCCACATTTTGCAAGGCACAACAGCACATACAATAATTTTTGTTACGTACCCAAAACATAGGATTGAAGAAAACAAATTGCTTATATTGTTTCTGGAGTAAGTGAAGGTACTGGGTCACAACCTTCACAGAATGGAACAAATTCAAACATTCAATAAGAGTGGAAATACAAAGCGAGATCAGTGAACAAGGTAGGCCTGTGCAATCGCATAAAAAACTTACTTTGTCACTGAGACATGTCTCCTGAAGCATCACTTGCTCCAGTTCTTCTCTAGTAATATCAAAGAGATGCTGCCTATCTAGTGTACTGACACAGCTGTGAACAATGATTGACATGATTACAATAAAGAGATGAAAGCGAGACCATTGTTAGCCATTGACAGTACCGATAGTTTAACATACATCTGCGGGACGAGTTCTCTGACATGAAAGCATACGGCTTCTTTCAATTCATCAGGTGGTACGCCGGAAGCTTGTGGTAGACACTGGACAATAAAGGTATTAGCATATATAAAGGGGATTATTTAAAAAGCGCAAGAGCATGTCTTACATCTCGTAGAAATGGCAATGTCTCAAATCCGCAGTCCTTCACTTTGATGGCACCAACCCCTTGTAAAATTTGTTTCACTTTATCCACAACCTAGTCATACAAATAATGGGTTATCCTCCTGTGTTGCCATCGAGAAGAAGAAACAAGGAGTAAAATAACAATGTCACATACAGTTGCCCCTTTTCTGGTCTGTTCATATAGTAGGACAAGTTCTTCAAGGTGTGGTTTTTCCCCCACAACCGGCTGCACCTCGACCCCAGCACACTTTCCCCCATTATCCATCTCTTTTATTTCTACAAGTTTTCTATTCGCGTCCCCAGTCTGACCAATGACAGCATCAGAGGTATAGGATTTCTTCCACATCTAACCACCATCTTCACCTTTGAATGCCAGTCTTTTGAAGTACGATACCCCCATTTTTTGGCCGTAAAATCCTTTGTCAACATGGTCAGCCAAGAATGGCACATCAAAGCTCCTAAACAGCCTGGTCAGCAACATACCAAAAGGGAGATGTGTTCTCTTATTCTCCCTGCTCTTAATCTTCCTAATCCTGTTGAGCATAGTTGCAATGATCAAATTGCCTATGTTTACTGGTTGTTTGTGTAACATATGCCACAATATAACTCTTTCTAATGCACTAACGGAAGTGATACTTCCGGCTTTAGGTACAATGCTATGCGTTATTATCAGATGTAACAGCCGTGGCAACACTTTCATATACGGCGCATAAAACTTATTCTTTTTGCCCAATTTCATAACTCTGTAACCATTTTGCCGAATCTCTCCAAGAAATTCTAGGTCATTGTACCCCTTCACAGCAACCTTATCTACATTCTTTGCGCTAATCCGTTTATAGTCAACAGTGTATCCACTGTCAACCAACCCAAACTCTGAACACAAAACCTCAGCAGACAATTCCATGTGTACCTTCCTAACCACTGAACGCAGAACAGACTTCTACTTATTTGCCCTACAGTTAGCATAGAATTCTCTAACCATTGCATCATAGCACTTGTCATTATTTCCCAGCAAATTTAACAAATTTTGGGCATTAAGATATTCCGTGATATCGATACACTCACCAGCGAGAGCTTGTACGTCGACCCACATGCCTGCATACACTGGAAGACTCATACAGGCCTCCATTTTACTGCCTATGCTTGCTTCGGGATGCGGTTCAATTGTTGAGTACGTTGAGCAACAGAGGAACCGAACGCGATAAATCCGATTTATTTGGACCTTGCCGCCTAAAACGCTTCGAACTGCTCCAAATTTCAGAAGGGGGGGAAAGTTTAAACCGAAGCTTTTCAAGTGTGTTTACACCACAACAACGGAGCTTTTAATGGGCTAAACAGGAGAAACGATGAGAAGTTCAACAAAGACGAGCTTTTTGTGGGATAATTGATCAGGCGGGGACGGGCGTGGAGGGGAGGCAAACCCGATTCCTTCAAATCAAGATCAACCCGATTCGGTATTCCAGCGTGTATTCCGAAGCGGGTTATGCGGAAGCCAAATTACAAGGGGTTATATTACAATCTATTCTTAATAACAAATGTAATTATGTATTTATATAATTTAAATATATGATATACACATATATTATAAGGGATACTTTCACAAACCTCCCCTGAATTAGCTTATGCAAAAATCAGAAAACGGAAAATTTATGGACGATAGCCAAAAAGAGCTCATGTTTTATTCAGGAACTTGTTTATTTTCATTTAATCCCATAAATAAATTTGTTTACGTAAATCGACTTTATTGTAAAGGAAAGCCATAAAAAGCTCCGTCTTTTATTGTAAATCGAGTTTATTTTTTATTTATCCGATAAATAAATTTAGTTATGTCCGAGAGGGTACTCTGTTCTCATAATGGAGGAAAGCCATAAAGAGTTCAGAAACATCAACGTAAATCGATTAAATTTTTATTTCATCGGAGTGAACAATTTATTTATGGAAAAATGGGTACTCTGTTCTTATAATGGAGGAAAGCCATAAAGAGCTGGTCAATTAACGTAAATCGATTTTATTTTATTTTTACCCGATAAAAAATTTTATTTATCTAAAAATGGGTACTCTGTTCTTATAATGGAGGAAAGCCATAAAGAGCTGGTCAATTAACATAAATCATTTTTTATTTTTTTTTACCCGATGTTTGGATTTTAGTTATGGAAAAATGGGTACTCTGTTCTTATAATGGAGGAAAGAAATAAAGAACTGGTCAATTAACGTAAATCGCTTAGAATTTTTATTTTACCCAATAAAAAATTGGATTTACGAAAAACTGGGTACTCTGTTCTTATAATGAAGTAAAGCCATAAAGAGCTGGTCAATTAACGTAAATCGATTTTATTTTTTTTTCGTCGATAAAAAACTTTATTTATGGCAAAATGGATACTCTGTTCTTATAATGGAGGAAAGCCATAAAGAGCTGGTCAATTGACGTAAAGTGATACTTTACAGAACATACAAGGGTGAAGATAAGCTATTTAGCTTTTCATACCAGTAATATTAACAGAGTAAGAAGTAGCGGTCAATTTACTGAAAAAACATAATTAATTTGTACACCATGGTGACAAATTTGTGCATCAAAAGGAGTTGTCAACATTCAATCTTATACACTAACGATAAGGTAGGGCAGCACAAATTGCTCCAATTTCTTCATCGCAAGCGCAGCCTTCACATGTACTCTCCTCCACGTCATCGGCATCCATAGGCCATGAAGATGTTTTCCTCTCGTGTGTCATGGCACAACAAATGGACGTTGGATTTAGAAACAAGGGATTCTTGACCCATATCATCCTCAGCAGCGCTCGCAAATTGTCACGACAACGTTGATTTCTGGCTTTCAGAATTCTGGATTTCTTCAACCCGCTCAGCAGTCGCATACCTTTGCGCTTTAACTCGTCCCCACCAACAAAGATGTAAATTATTCCCAACGCATATGCCGCATCGGCATGGCCTGAATTGGAAGCTTCTTCCAGGCATTGCAATGCTGAGCCCTCATGCTTGTCCGTAAAATAATCAACCTAAACAGCGCAAGGTTGACATTACACTCTTCCGTAAAAGTCATGAAATAGTAACGAAAAAATCAAAAATGTCCAGGCGGGACAATAATTATTTACTGGGGCAGAAAGCTGCAGTAACCTGTTGTATATATCTTTTGGGGTAAAGTGTGCATACCAAAATCATAATGAAGTTTAAATGAAATAGATGACGTCAGCTTAGTCTAGAAAATTTCGAGCAAACAGGACATCGGCCCGATGCTTACCACTCCTTTTCGATACAAGGCTTCTGGATTTTTGCTTTCTCTACACTTCTTCAAGAACCTCGACACTTGGTCGTTTTTTGACCACGGAACGATTTCAAACTTGTCCAGTGACACCCGGTGGTAAATGTTGTCTGCGTCCGAAACTTCGTAAAACAACTTACAGCTGCAAAATAAGATAAATGATCCATTAAACGCAAACGATTGTAACATGTCAAACAAGAAAACGCCTCTGTCCTGTTTGTATCACCAATAGCAGAACGAACCATAGTTTTGCCCGGAAAAGATCAGTGCATGAACAGGATGCGACACGTGCAAGCACCTCGGATAGCACCTCGGTCGGAAGGGAGTGGATGGAGGTTGTTGAACTCCTTTTTTGTTCGTTGGCCATGTCCGGTTAACTCCTTTTACTGGCCACAGTTGAGTGAATCCGTCAAACGCCCAAGAATGGAGTAAACTTCAAACAACACCTACTTCCTTATAAAATCCAATAATGATTGATAAGGTGTAATATATACGGAGTTTGTGGGAGACCGACTAACCGTAGCGATAAACGAACATAAATGGGAAAGTGGCGACTTCTCCTGCAAAGGACGCAACATTCTGTCGTCAAAAAATAGTCATCCGAAACAATTTTACAAACCGACCAACGTATCTGTCAATACGGTTATTTCATACGAACCGTAACAAAACACCGATAGCAAGGGAACATGAACAGTCACGCTCTACACGTACATCGTTAATTGGGCGACGTTCATCGCAGAGCAAAGGATAGCTTCCACAGTGATAAACAGGGAGTCTTAGTTCGTACCTGTAATGGGTCGTCAACCAGCAATTCAGGTTAATGGTCGCTAGCACAGATTTGGCAGAGAGGTCCGGCGGGTTAAATGGCAACCAAAAGGTCGCGTCCGATGCATATACTCCCGCAAGACTGACTCCTCGTATGCTGCCACGGATGTTCCGTTCAGTCTGTCACCCATTAATTGAGAAGAGGCATAAAGAGCCGGTGTTTATTCGCCAAGTGGGTTAAAAGTAATAAAGAGCTGGTGTTTATCCTCTGTAAACCTGGGTACTCTATTATAATATGATTATGTATTATTTTTTGTTATAAACTAAAATTCATGAAATACTATAATTCAATTCAATTATGAATTATAATAAGTGAATGATTTTACCTATAATGGATTGTAACTTCTATACATAATATAGCAATATTTCATGAATTAATCCTCTTGGGAATACATAGGGACCTCTACTCACAAATTGTTGTTTCATAACATTTTTTATTTTATGTAACTTTCACATATTTGATTTATGTTACACAGAACAAAACAGACGTCGGGTTTCCTTTTGGCCGCTATTAAACCCATTTTCCCTATAAAGAGCTGGTATGTTTGCAGCAAAAAAGCGGAGACAAAACGTACTACAAAACATGCCAGTTTCCCATTCAGCGCTGGTATAGTACAAATAATATGTTCAATTTTTCCTAATAAAAACCATACTAGTTCTGTCTTGGCCAGTATTTGCTGCTATAAAGAGGTAGTATGTTGCCCATAAAAAGTTGGTACAAAACATACTAGTTTTCCTTTGGCCGCTATGTAACCAAATTTTTCCTATAAAGAGCTGGTATGTTTCCCATAAAAGCCGGTATTTTACAGATAAAAAACTGTCAATTTCCCATAAAGAGCTGGTATGTTAAATACATAAATTTAACTTTCACAAATTGGCGCCAAATTACTTCTTCTATTGCCGCCTACGAGTAATAATTTTTTAATCACCTTCATTAGATATTAAATTTCTGTTATTCTAGTTAAATGTAATTACCAACCACCATATACATTTGGCAATTACTTAGCGTAAGTAAAATTTAAAAGATGCATACTAATATTTTTACGAAAGGAAAAGTAATAGATTTTGTATTTAACATGATTTAAATACGTGAAAGTAAAAAAAAAAAGTGATTGCCCAGTAATATATCCGTTTTGTATAGGTTTCCACTATTACGAGTTTCTACCATTTAATTAGTCTAATTAGTTACTTATTTTATGTTAAATAGATAACCTACAAGTTGACTTAAAATTGATGAAATTCGGCATTTTTCCTGCCACATCTGGTGCTTACAATTTTTTGTATTGTACTTATAACCCCTCAACTTTAGTAATCATTCCAATAATTTATTCTTCTTTCAATCTTCTACCAATACAAGGACCAAACAGGGCATACAAAATATATAAAAATACCTTCTCACAGATGAAAATAATATTGTAATCAGATTTGGACTGCATTGTTACAAAAAATTGAAAATTAAGGGAGGTCAGTGAAATTTTGAGAAGGTCGGGGGATGCCAGTGAAAGTGTCAGAAACCTCAGGGACAAATTTGTGAGATTATTCATATTTATTGTATTCGTTCCGAAACGTCAACTAAACAAGCAAACAAATGTGTTGACTACTTTAGAGTAAAACCTATTCCTTCCTTCCAACCCCCAAATTCTTGTTAAAGGCGCTGTCCGCGGACACCGTGGGAGCGGCGTGTCCTTGTGTTTGGCAGGGATAAAGTTAGGCGGTGTACCGGAGGAGATTAACGTTTGCGAATGGCTTCTTCGTCTTCAGCCGGGTCGGCCAATAGCACGGTCTGGCCTACATTATATTGCAATTGTGGTCGAAGCTGTGCAGTTCGTGTTGTCTGGAAGTCTGAAGCAAACAGGGGGCGCCACTACTATCGCTGCGCTAACGCCCTGGTAAGTTCCACGGCAGAACTGTTCCGAACAAATATTTCAGATTGCTAACGTAGTTGTATTGCAGAGGCCCTGTCGAACGTTCATTGGCTGGTGTGATGAGTTTGCTCGAGCAACGGGGTTTGAAGTTCCCGATCCCGCCCCGTCAAATACCGCCCCCGTCAGCAATAGACCCGCGGCGGAGGTGTCTGCCATCATAGCTGAACTGAGAAGCATGCAAAGGAACGTGACGATCCTTAACATTGCTGTGGTAGCTGTGGTGGCGGTAGTCCTTGTTCTGGTTCTGAAACCGTGAATTAATGTGTTGCCGTTGATTGCATCCCCTCCAACCTCCCCCCCCGTACAGTACTGTTTCTATGGTCTCAATAAGGATAGAATGGGCATTTAGGCTCGTTTACAGCCTCTTGTATTTTTGTGGTTGCTACTGCTGTGGCATTGCCTTTTGTCCATCCGTTGTCAACCGGTGGTTGCCGCATATGCGACTGAGTTGGCCCAACCGGCGGTGTGTTACTGTGTAATTTAAGATTATCCGTTATATAACATACTAGGTTTCCGTATTTGGTTTTTGTTTACATTGTGCGTGATGTGGTTTTCCGAAATGCCTGTTCCCTTTGTCCCCCGAAATGTGTGTGCGGATGAGGTACTACGGATCGTAGATGGATCGATGAACGTCATTAGTCACTGCGATGGCAACCGCTGCGTTGTTAAATATGAACTTCAGCTTAGCCAGCCAACTGAACAAGCTGAAGCTTACGTACAACCAATTGGGATGTGGCACAGCATTGTTAGGTTTACCACTGCGAAATTTGTGGAGTTGAACGACGAAAACAAGTTCTTACTTATATATTTGGATTTAAGTACATCCGCTTACTGCTTACATATCCGACAATAGGGTGCACGGCTTACATTTTCAGGCCTTGCATATTATCATCCCCTAACCCCTACCCTTCATACGCTTACAATCAAAACCATGCATGGTACACCCAACAACAGCAAGGTCAATTACAAAAAACCGCCCAACCTCCAAATATGATGTTCAACCAAAAAAATTAAAAGCACACCGCTGTAACTGCGAACGTTCACTCGAAACGCTCCACAATAAGACCAAACATAGGGTTTAAGGAGGCAACCGTGGTAGCTACCCTGAGAAAGCTGCGGTATTTCTTGCGCCGCACAGTGAGGAGAAGGCTGTCAATAGCATCTCTGTCTTCAAACGTGATCTCTACAGCTGATGGATTCCAGCAAATGGTTGCGGTGTGAAGGTTGTCCGCAATGGCAACGTTGCGTGTCATACTGGCGGCATACCCCTGTTCAGCCAGAAACCGTGTTACAGACCAGTCTTCAAACTTGGCGCCGAAGAGGATCCACACGTCGGTATGGAGCAGTGGTTTTAGACCGAGGAAATGTGCAACAAATTCCTCCTTGCCCACAAACCAGGCATTGTAGGTCATGATGTAAAACGCCTTCAGGTTCTGTATAAGGGGGAGTGGACGACGGCGCCACTTGACCAGCGAACGGAATACTTCCTCGTTCGCAATGGGGTTGCGAACCGGTATGCATGACACCAGCATCGACTGCGGAAACTCCGGTCCCGGAAACCTATCTAACCGCACCAGCGCTTCCTCAACTATCCACTTCACGCCAATGTGGTGAAGTGGTAAGAGCTCATGTTGAAAGTAGGCGACCATGCCTCCGTTGTTGAGGACATGCATTTCAGGAAGTCGTCCATACCCTGCCATGAGTCAGTCTGAAAATCGATTATGTTACGAGGAATAAAGGGTCGGTTCAGAAAAAAAACATACATAACGAAGAGAATCTACCAGTACTTACATGTTACGGGTGGTAAAAGGAAGATGCGAAACTGATACAACGGGGTTGTATGAAGCTCAAGCGGCATGCAATAGGGTTCTCTGTTGTGCGAAACCAACGCCGGGGTGAATGGGCATGCAAGGAAGAAGTTTAGTTGTGTGAAGCTTTAATAGGAGGAGATAAGGGTACGATGGGTACTCTGTTCTTATAATGGAGGAAAGCCATAAAGAGCTGGTCAATTGACGTAAATGGAATGTATTTTTTTTTACCCGATATAAAATTTTATTTATGGAAAAATGGGTACTCTATTCTTATAATGGAGGAAAGCCATAAAGAGTTGGTCAATTACTGGAAAAATTGATTTTATATTTTTTTTTCCCGATAAAAATTTTATTTATGCTCCTTAATGGGTACTCTGTTCTTATAATGGCGGAAAGCCATAAAGAGCAGGTCAATTAACGTAAATCGACAAATAAGGAAGTTTTTTACCCGATAAAAAATTTATTTATGCTCCTTAAATGGGTACTCTGTTCTTATAATGGCGGAATACCATAAAGAGCTGGTCAATTAACGTAAAAAAAATTATAAAAAAAATTAACGTAAATCGATTTTATAATTTTTTTACCCGATAAAAAATTTTATTTATGGAAAAATGGGTACTTAGTTTCCCTTCTACAAATACATTTAGTTGTCCCCTGAATAACAATGCAACCGTTTTCGAAGAAAATTGCAGCTGTTAGACATTCCTCCATTACAACAAAAGAGTACACATGGTTCCATACACAACTTAATTTAAGGGATAAAATATAAATAAAAAAAAATTTTGAAGCGGTTAATACTACCCAACTAGGTAGAGAGGTTGGTGTAAGGCACAACACTGGCTTTTTTTTAAGCCGGCAGAAAATTTGGCTCTCTTAATCATACGACTCACATGGCAAGTAATGGAGCTTATGTTTTTTTTTTTTTTTTTTTTTACAGGGAGCTTATGTTAGAGAGTCTCCATTAGCTCGGTTGGGGTGTAAATCTGGTGCGGACAAGACTGGCGCCAGTCTTTCTTATAGGAGAAGATGCAAAAGTTGTACGGTTGCCAGATATTGAACGGTCCAGCGTCAATGGTGGCCCACCTTTGCTTGTGTGAATTCCAATGTGTGAAATCTCACTACTGTAAAGCTTTTGAATGACTACTGCACCATGGCCCTTCACATATGCTTTGGGGCGCAACACTGGCGGCTCCCAATCCCGTATGGCGAAGGATACAAGACCATGTTCCCGCCCAAAAAATTAATCCAATCTTTGCAGGCCATAGGCGGAACAGTGGCAGCCGATATCATTCATGACAAATCAGCAAAATTCACAGTTTTCTTTACATTTCATAAACTTAAGTGTTAGTAATTCACAATTCGCGGCTTGTGAAGATTAGCGAAAGAATTAAAGAG